GTCGAGTCTGGAGCCAGCTCCCTCTACTTGCGGGGAGGTGTGGAGGGAGATGAGCAGGTGGGAAGCGGGGCTGCATGTGGTGCTTGCGGGCCAGCACAAGTTCCAGGTGGGCATGGGCTCAGCAGGCCCTGCACTTGGAGCAGCCAGCAGGCACTGCCGGCCTCGGGCACTGAGAGGCTTAGCACCTGGGTCAGCAGCTGCAGAGGGTGTGCCGGGTCCCCCAGCACTGCTGGCCTGGCAACGCCATGCCCGATTTCTTGCTGAGCCTCAGCCGCCTCCCCACAGGGCAGGGCTCAGGACCTGCAGTCCACCATGCCTGAGCCTGGCCCTCTCCATGGGCTCCCACACGGCCTGAGCCTCCCCGATGGGCACTGACCCCTGCACCTCGGCGCCCAGTCCCATCCACTGCCCAAAGGCTGAGGAGTGTGGGCTTGCGGTGTGGGACTGGTGGGCGGCCCTGCCCACGGCCCTGGCGTGGCATCCACTAGGGGAAGCCAGCTGGGCTCCTGAGTCGGGTGGGGATTTGGAGAACTTTTATGTCTAGCTACAGGATTGTAAAACAGCACTCTGTGTCTAGCTCATGGACTGTAAATGCACCAATCAGGACTCTGTCAAAATGGACCAATCAGCTCTCTGTAAAATGGACCAATCAGCAGGATATAGGTGGGGTTCAGATAAGGGAATAAAAGCAGGCTGCCTGAGCCAGCAGTGGCTGGCTCTAAAATAACTAGAAGAGTATAATTTGATTGTCTGTAACACAAAGGATAAATGTTTGAGAGGATGGATACCCCATTCTCCATGATATTATTTTACATTGCATGCCTGTGTTAAAACATCTCATGGGCTGGGCGTGGTGGCTGATGCCTGTAATCCCAGCATTTCAGAAGGCTGAGGCAGGTGGATTGCCTAAGGTCAGGAGTTCCAGACCAGCCTGGCTAAGATAGTGAAACCCTGTCTCTACTAAAAATACAAAAAATTAGCTGGGCATGGTGGTGAGTGCCTGTAATCCCAGCTACTCAGGAGGCTGAGGCAGGAGAATCGCTTGAACCCAGGAGGCGGAAGTTACAGTGAGCTGAGATCGTGCCATTGCACACCAGCCTGGGCAAAAACAGCGAAACTCCATTTCAAAAGAAAAAAGAAAAATACCGTGTGTATTTGTTGTATCTGTGCCTGGTGCCATTCAAGGGTCAGGAGTTGTGGATACTCTCCTCAAACTCAGTGACCAACTCACTGAAAGTCAGTGGTTTGCAGGTAAAGAGTGTAGGCTAGAGTCCTGAGAATCACTGGCATGTAAACACCAAGCAGAAAAAGAGAAGCCAAAAGAAGAGTTAGATGGGGATGCCAGGGAAGTAGGAGCACAAAGAGGTAACTGCGCCTCTCAGGAAGAGCCAGGAGGATGCCAACGGGTCAAAGGTGTGGGCCAGGTGCGGTTGCTCACACCTGGAATCCCAGCACTTTGGGAGGCCGAGGTGGGTGGATCACCTGAGGTCAGGAGTTTGAGACCAGCCTGGCCAACATGGTGAAACACCGTCTTTACTAAAAATACACAAATGAGCCAGATGTCGTGGTGCATGCCTGTAATCCCAGCTACATAGGAGGCTGAAGCAGGAGAATCGCTTGAACCAAGGAGGTGGAGTTTGCAGTGAGCCGAGATCATGCCACTGTACTCCAGCCTGGGCCACAGAGTGAAACTCCGTCAAAAAAAAAGAAAAAAAAAGGTGTGGAATGCCTCTAAGAGATCAGAGAAGACAAGAACTGAAAGTATCCTATCATGCTGGTGACAATGGGATAATTCTAATGCAGGAAAGAGAAGCTTCGGGTACTTCTCTTTGCTTATGGGAAAAGCACAGTAGCCTGGGAGCCCCTCTGGGGTTTGCTGCTGAAATTGGGGCGAACCCACTCTAGTCAATAGGGGATTTGGGCTGAGCACCAACGTTGTTTGCTATCTTCAACAGAGAAGCCTTGGGAGCCCCATGGGAGTAGAGTGAGCTGGCTAGGTAAACTGATCCGATGAGTAATCTGATGGTTGAGGTAGGGAGAGAGTGCTTAACAGGGAGGCAGGATTGAGGAAAATTAAAAAGAGAGAAAGGGATGGTTTGAGACCATCCCTTTGAGATGGAGCAAAGTCCTGGAGTAGAAAGAGGATTTTTGTAATAATCACCGATTTTCTATCCTGCTAGATGGTAAGCTCTTTGAGTGTGGAGGCTTTGGTGGTTTTGTTCATCCTTTCTTCCTACCATGCAAGAATGAACAAGGAATTCCTATCATGCGGAATGAACAATAAATGAATGAATAGGAGTAGAAGACGGGGTAGCGGTTATCGCTAAAAAGGCATGATGAAACTTGTTCATCTAGGATGGGGGGAAAGGAAGAAAGGAAGGAGCGATGCTATAGAGATATTTTGAAGCTGAAGCAGAAGAGGTTAGAGTTTACACAGATGGCTTCTTTTCCCAGGGATGTAGGAGAGATCACTGGGGAATTATGGGATGACTGGTGATTAGGATAAAGTTGGAATGGTCAATAGTGGGAGCAACTGGAAAGGCTAAATCCACAGGTGCCAATAGCTGTGACTGAAATCTGTATCTTTCACCACTGGTGTCAGCCAGCTTTCTTGATCTTCTGTAGCAATGAGTATAGGCTCAGAAACAAAGATGGTGGACAGATGGGTTGGCCCAAGCATGAGAACTGGCAGGTTGGAAGGACAGAAACTAACGGGGAAGGAAAATCGAGGGTACCCCATAAAGAGAAAGGGTGTAATGGGATTATGACTGGGGAGTGACAAAGAGACAGCAGGAGAGGGCTCCACTTTCCGGGGAAAAAGAGGCCCCAGGATGGGAAGTTGTGATGGGGACAGAGAGTAAGTCCATAGGAAAGAAGGAATGGGTCATGGGGAAAGTGTTTGATGGCTGCAGTGGAAAGGTGAAATTTCAATGTCTGAGACTTAGGAGGTGAGACCACTCTAAAAGACCACCCAAGGCTCTTGTGGGGACTGTGAGGTTCAGGGGTTCAGAAGCAAAGTGAACTAAAGACAGCGGGAAGTATACCTACCTTGGCACAGGTGACCTTTTTGGTTCCTCATAAGATGAGGATCAGTTTTGCTTAACAAATCATCGTAAGTGATGCCCTTCTTCTTAGGGGATACAGTGACTTCTCCCTGTGGGATCCTGTCCTCCAAACTGGCAACTGCACAGTCTTACTGTTGGCCAGCTCCTGAAATGTTGCCTTCTTCTGGCGGAGTCTTGGCTAAAATACAGACAGGCCTCTTTCTAGCAGTAGCTGCCCGTATGCTTAGAGTGAGTAAAGATACAATTATGGGGAAAGGGTGCTAGTGCAGCATCTTAAAAGTCACCTACAAGTGCAATCTTCTCTTTTTTTGTTTTTTTTTGGAGGCAAAGTTTTGCTCTTATTGCCCAAACTGTAGTGCAGTGGCACGATCTCGGCTCACCGCAACCTCCGCCTCTCAGGTTGAAGTGATTATCCTGCCTCAGCCTCCCAAGTAGCTGGGATTATAGGCATGCATCGCCACACCCAGCTAATTTTGTATTTTTAGTAGAGATGAGGTTTCACCGTATTGGCCAGGCTGGTCTCAAACTCCTGACCTCCGGTGATCTACCTGCCTTGGCCTCCCAAAGTGCTGGGATTACAGGCATGAACCATGGCACCTAGCCACACATGCAATCTTCTAGGAGATTTTTAAACTAGCTTTTCTTTGAGTTGCAATTCCTTTTTTTTTTTTTTTTTTTAGAGAGACATAGTCTTGCTCTGTCACCCAGAATGGCATGCAGTGGTGCTATCATAGCTCACTGCAGTTTCAACTTCCCAGGCTCAAGCAATCTTCCCACCTCAGCCTCCCAAGTAACTAGGACTAGAGGTGCACACCACCACACGTGCCTAATTCTAAAAATTTCTTTTTGGAGATGAGGGTCTGTCTATGTTGCCCAGGCTGGTCTCAAATTCCTGACTTCAAGCAGTTCTCCTGCCTTAGCTTCCCAAAGTGCTATTATTACAAGTGTGAACCACCGCACCCAGCCTGAGGTGCAATTCCCAGTCAAGATGCTGAATATATTTGCAAGAATTCAGGGCAATACTGGTACTAACAGCCCAAATAACTGCTCCATGCTCTTGGAACCTGTATTTCATCAATTCTCCCACATGCCCTCCCAGTGAGTTTTAACACATCCCTGCTGTTTCCCCTGCAATGTCTCTGCATTACTCCATTTTCATGCTGCTAAGAAAGACATACCCAAGACTGGGTAATCTATACTGGAAAAGGGTTTCATGGACTTACAGTGCCACATGGCTGGGGAGGCCTCACAATCATGGTGGAAGGCAAAGAGAAGCAAGTCATGTCTTACATGGATGGCAGCAGACAGAGAGAGAGTTTGCACAGGGGAACTCCCGTTTTTAAAACCATCAGATCTCATGAGACTCATTCGCTAGCACAAAAATAGTGCAGGAAAGACCCACCCCTTGATTCAGCCACCTCTCACCGGGTTTCTCCCATAACACGTGGGAATTGTGGGAGTTACAATTCAAGATCAGATTTCGGTGGGGACACAGTATCATTCCACTCTGGACCCCTCCCAAATCTTATGTCCTCATATTTCAAAACCAGTCATGCCTTCCTAACAGTCCCCCAAAGTCTTAACTCATTTCAGCATTAACTCAGAAGTCCACAGTCCAACATCTCATCTGAGACAAGGCAAGTCTATCAGCCTTCAGCCTATCAGCCGTAAACTCAAAAGCAAGTTAGTTACTTCCTAGATACAATGGGGTACAGGCATTGGGTAAATACAGCCATTCCAAATGGGAGAAATTGGCCAAAACAAAGGGGCTACAGGCCTCATGCAAGTCCAAAATCCAACAGGGCGGTCAAATCTTAAAACTCCAAAATGATCTCATTTGATGCCATGTCTTGCATCCAGGTCACACTAATGCAAGAAGTGGGTTCCCAGGGTGTTGGGCACCCTCCAACCCCACTCAAATTGCCCAAGACTCACAAGCACCTGCAGTCTGTCCCGAGGGCTGGGGCAGGGCTTTTCCTGGTTCATCCTGGCAGCATTCCTGGCCTCTGGCTCTTTGTGTTGGCGATACAGAGGACACTGGGCTATTCTTATTTCTGGCTGAAGTTGCTGCCAGTTACATAAAGAACAGTGCTTACATTGATAAGGCTGTGAAAGTTTAATGTCTCCCATCCCCATATGTAGAGAATTCAGGCTAAGTTCTACCAGCAATATAAGATTTCCTATACTGTTCCTTCATCCCACTCAGACATTCTGCCACCTGTGGATAGTGCACAAGAAATGCTCGTATTTCATCTAGGAAGCCATCCAGCTATGGGTTAGGCCCCTGATGTGATATGCCTGGCCTCCACAGTTACAACTAGTGACTTACACTTTTTTTTTATATATAGAATCTCGCTCTGTCACCCAGGCTGGAGTGCAGTGGTGTGATCTCAGCTCACCGCAACCTCCACCCCCCAGGTTCAAGTGATTCTCCTGCCTTTGCCTCCTGAGTAGCTGGGATTACAGGAGCTCACCACCACGCCTGGCCAACTTTTGCATTTTTAGTAGAGATGGGTTTCACCACGTTGGCCAGGCTGGTCTCAAACTCCTGACCTCAGGCGATCTGCCTGCCTTAGCCTCCCAAAGTGCGAGGATTACAGGTGTGAGCCACTGCAGCCGGCTTCTAAGATAATAATTCTTTAAAGTTAGAAATAAAAGTATTAAAAACTGTTCCGTATATCTCTATTGCCTTATTAGCCATAGCTCTTTGTTTTCTTGTTTTAGTGGATGCAGTTGGATTTACAATATGCACTTTTTTTTGTTGTTAATGTTATGTGCAATTGTAGTTTTGCTGCGGCTTATTTCAAGACTGTTTGTTTGCTCGTTTCTTTGTTGATTTATTTATTTTGAGACACACTCTCGCCCTGTCTCCCAGGCTGAAGTGCAGTGGCATGATCTTGACTCACTGCAACCTCTACCTCCCAGCTTCAAGTGATTCTCCCGCCTCAGCCTCCCAAGTATCTGGGATTACAGGCACGTGCCACCACACTTGGCTAATTTTTGTCTTTTTCATAGAGATGGGGTTTCACCATGTTGATCAGGCTGGTCTCAAACTCCTGACCTCGTGATCTGCCCGCCTCAGCCTCCCAGTGTTGTGATTACAGACGTGAACCACCGTGCCTGGCCTACAGGCCTGCTTTTAAAAATTCTTGCTTTTAAAAATTCTGAGAGGATGTAATCCTAGAACATTGGGAGGCCGAAGAGGGAGTATTGCTTGACCCCAGGATTTCGATACCAACCTAGGCAACATAGCAAGGCCCCCCAGTCCCTACAAAAAATTTTAAAAATTAGACACAGTGTTGTGTACCTGTAGTCCCAGCTACTCAGGAGGCAAAGGATGGGAGGATGACTTGAGCCCAGGAGTTTGAGGCTGCATTGAGCTGTGGTTGTGGCACTGCACTCAAGCATGGGCAAGAGTGAGATCCTGTCTCTCTTTTTTAGGGGGATGGAGTCTTATTCTTGTTGCCCAGGCTGGAGTGCAGTGGCACAATTTCAGCTCACTGCAACCTCCATCTCTCAGGTTCGGCAAATCTCCTGCCTCAGCCTCCCAAATCGCTGGGATTACAGGCACCCACCACCAGGCCCAGCTAATTTTTGTATTTTTAGTAGAGATGGGGTTTCGCCATTTTGCCCAGGCTGGTCTCAAACCCCTGACCTCAAGTGATCCACCCACCTTGGCCTCCCAAAGTGCTAGGATTACAGGCATGAGTCACCACGCCTGGCCCCATCTTTAAAAAATAAATAAATAAAAATTCTTAGAGGATTTGACATCCAGGAAATAGCTGTAACCACAATTCAATGTAAAGGCAATAATGTAAGTTAAATGTACAATTAATCAGCGTCTGGGCCAGGACCTTCTTAGCAGGGCTGTGCAGTTTCCTTTGCTGGTTTCTCATTGCAGGCATATACAGCTGTAGGGAGGTGGGCTAACATCTAGAATCACTCAGGTCCTGGAAGGCCATGGGTAAACCACACACTTCTGGGCCTGGGTTTTTTCAGCTGCCTCCGAGATTGGTGTGAGATTCAGTAAGAACATGAACAATGAAAGGAGAGAGTCGACAATGTCGGGCTACAAAACCTCAGGCTCTTTTTGTTCCATGCTCTGTGATTTGGTCATTTTCTAAGGTGGAAATGGCGCGCCTCCCTTTCTCCCCAAGAGCCAGGTCTATCTCTGTGCTTCCTCGTGGTGTCCCAATGCAGAGCCCCGAGAAGAAAGCATAAAATGCTTTTGACTGGGAAGAAAACCTGGAGCACAGGAGGTGGTGCTTGATATAGTTTGGGTATTGGTCCCCACCCAAATCTCATGTTGAAATGTCATCCCCACTGCTGGAGGTGGGGCCTGGTGGGAGGTGTTTGGGTCAAGGGGGCAGATCCCACATGGCTTGGTGCTGTCTTAGAGATGGTGAGTTCTCGTGAGATCTGGTTGTTTGAAAGCTATGGCACCTCCCTATCCAGCTTTTTCTCTTGCTCCTGCTTTCGCCGTGTGACACGTGCCTGTTCCTACTTTACCTTCCCCCATGAGTCGAGGCTTCCGGAGGCCTCTGTAGAAGCAGATGCCAGAGCTATCCTTCCTGTATAGCCTGCAGAACCAGGAGCCAATGAGCCTCTTTTCTGATAAATTACCCGATCACAGGTATTTCTTTATAGCAAAGCAAGAACAGCCAAATACAGTGCTGTTTGGCACCAGCCTCGGGATTTAGAAGTCACACTCTGAATATGCCAGGCTTTCTCTGGTTTGTGGCTTCCTTTTCTCTAACTTTGCTTCTCTGTGTTCCTAGAATGCCTCTCCCCACTCACCACTGCCTTCTCTGCTAACAAACTCCTACTTTTGGGAGTTCAGTGAACAACCCCAGGCTTTTAACTCAGTGCCTGTAATCCCAGCACTTTGGGAGGCCGAGATGGGTGGACCACAAGGTCAGGAGTTTGTGACCAACCTGGCCAACATGGCGAAACCCTGCCTCTACTAAAAATACAAAAATTAGCAGGGCCTGGTGGCGCGCATCTGTAATCCCAGCTACTCGGGAAGCTGAGGCAGGAGAATCGCTTGAACCTGGGAGGTGGAGGTTGCAGTGAGCCGAGATCGTGCCACTGCATGCCAGCCTGGGCAACAAGAGCAAGACCCCGTCTCAAAAAAAAGAAAAGAAAAAATGAAAACTGTCTACCCTACAGTCTTTTTTTTTTTTGAGATGGAGTCTCGCTCTGTTCCCCAGGCTGGAGTGCAGTGGCGCGATCTCGGCTCACTGCAAGCTCTGCCTCCCGGGATCATGCCATTCTCCTGCCTCAGCCTCCTGAGTAGCTGGGACTACAGGCGCCCGCCACAGCGCCCTGCTAATTTTTGTATTTTTAGTAGAGATGAGGTTTCACCGTGGTCTCGATCTCCTGACCTTGTGATCGCCCGTCTTGGCCTCCCAAAGTGCTGGGATTACAGGCGTGAGCCACGGCGCTCAGCCAACCCTACAGTCTTATGCTTCTTTATGGGCTGTTCAAGATACTCTCTGGTTTTAGCATAGGCCACAGTGGAACCCACTGTGAGCTCCCAAGACCATAACTGATTAGTCCATCACACAGCACACCTGCAAGAACAAAGTGGCCGGGCCATAGACCACTTCCAGCCTCAGCGCACCCTGCAAAGGGACAATCTTCTCTCGTCATCATCTGGGTCCTGCTGTGAAGGCCTCAGATCCCAGTAGGGCCTTGTCCTTCCTCCTTCTTCATTGTATTTCCTTTTGGAATTCCTTGGTATCCTTTCTTGCCCATCAAAGAAGTTCTAATAATGTTCAAAAAGGGTGGAGTCAGCTGGGCGCAGTGGCTCACTCTTGTAATCCCAGTACTTTGGGAGGCCGAGGTGGGCGGATCACCTGAGGTCAGGAGTTCAAGGTCAGCCTGGGCAACATAGCCGCATCTCTACTAAAAATACAAAAATTAACCTGGCATGGTGGCGGGTGCCTGTAATCCCAGCTACTTGGAAGGCTGAGGTAGGAGAATTGCTTGAACCCAGAAGAATCGCTTGAACCTGGGAGGTGGAGGTTGCAGTGAGCCAAGATCATGCCACTGCACTCCAGCCTGGGTGACAGAGTGAGACTCTGTCTTAAAAAAAAAAGCAGGGGCGGGGGAGGGTGGAGTCTGCCCTTTCCTCTAGGAGGTTCCTTCCCCCACCTCTTTCTCTCCTGGCAGTTTCCATCTCCACCTGGCAGAGCTGATTCTTTTGCTAAAGTTCCTCTTAACCCATCTGTCTCTTTTCTCTCCTTCTTCTCCTACTTTTCTCCCTACCTGCTATGGTTTGAACATTTGTCTCCTTCAAAACTCATGTTGAAAGTTAATTGCTTTTGTACTATTAAGAGATAGGACCCTTGGAAAAACGATTAGACGGTGAGGGCTCTGCCTTCATGGGTGGGATTAACGCCATTATAAAAGGGTCAGTTCAGCCCCTTCCTGCCCTCTCTCTTTTTGCCCTTTCATCTTCCACCCTATGAAGACAAAGATAAAGCCTTCTTCCCATCTGGAGGATGCACATTCAATGTGCCATCTTGCAATGAGAATGCCCAGACTGCTGGTACCTTGATACTGGACTTCCCAGCCTTCAAAACTGTGAGCCAATCAATTTCTGTTCATTATAAATTACCCAGTCTTGGGTAACCTGCTATAGCAGCACAGACTAAGACATCACCTCTTCTCTCTGCCTTCTCTTCCTCTTCTTTTTTCTTTTCCTCCCCCTCTTCTTCTTTTTATTCTCCTCTCTCCTCCTTCTCTTCTTTTTTTCTCTCCCTATCCAATCCCTCCCTTGCACTCTCTTACTATATATATTGCAAATAATGATAAAAAAGGAAATGATCTTGCTGATATGCCTAGATTTTAAGTCATCAAAGGATTTGCCCTTTACAGTCACCCATTATCTCAATTAAGTCAGTCCAGAAATTCAAATACGTGCCTTAAAAATTAGGGAACCATGGATTTCTAGTCATTTTTTCCTACTAGTTATAAAATCCACAATCAGTAAAATTGCTACATGAGTTAAATACTTTTTATTGGCTAGGCCGTGGCGGTTCATGCCTGTAATTCTAGCACTTTGGGAGGCTGAGGCGGGTGGATCGCTTTAGGTCAGGAGTTCGAGACCAGCCTGGCCAACATGG